GTAAGGATAAAGAGTGAGTAGAAGAGAACTTGAAACGTTCTGGATCTGATTTATGTAATCACATTATGCGTGATTTCATAATGAAACCTATAATTTTAAAAATTGACACATTTTTAATATTGTTAGGAGTATAATTTCGGACATTAGATTTCAAATACACAAAATGGGCCCCTCACAAAAAAAGACAATGTTTGTAGTGCCTGCCGTATCGCAAAATGATTTTTACTTTTTTATTATCAAGCAAGCATTATCAGTAATTTTTGCTGTGACTTTTTTCGTATATCTTTCAAAAAACTTTAATAAATATTCTTTTACACATATTTTATTAAAAACTAGTTTAATATATGTACTGTAGTTTCTTCTTATTATTAAAAACAAAGTAATTAAATCTGAATATTAATAATATTATAAACGCAGAAGTTTGTAAGTATGGATGTTTATTACTCTTTCACGTAAAAATTACTGAACGGATTTTGATGAAACTTTACAGTAATATAAGCTTATGCATCAAAGTAACATAACACACGGGTGAAACCGCAGGTACAGCTAGTAAGTTATATTATGCTTACCTATTTGTTTACATAGATCTCAAGAGTCTGAGATCTGTTTAAATACAAAATGTGTGCATGTCAAAATTTGAGGTCACCACAACTTTAAACTTTGGCAGAACTTCTGTCTATCCTATTTGGAGTTCTCTTACTAACAGTACGGAGGCATCACATCTTCCACTTTTGTTATAATGATGTGTTTAAAGGTTGGATTACATTAAAACTAACTTGTTCAGAATTTCATTTATTGTGTCATGTTTGACCATAGACTAGTATTAGATAGACAACTTGGACCACAACATTACTCTTTCTATAACATCAGGAATACCGCTTTATTACATGGTAACGTGATGTCCGTGGTAATTTTCCTGCATGTACGCGATAGTTATCACTTACCATTAGGCGGTCCGTTAGCTTGTACGCAATTATAATTAAATAAAAATAAGAAAAATATTGAATGTCTACCTCCAACATTTAGATTAAAATATAAATTAAAACGACTATTTTACAAACTAAATAAACTAAATGCTCTTCTCTATCTGATATGTATGTTTGTTTGTAGGTGTACAACTAAAAGAAACGAAGCTTAAAAGTGAATCTCAAGACAGTATTCCGAAACGGAAACGTATCTCGCCACCAATGAAAGAAGCAATGAAACACCAAGAGAACTTGAGAAATATTCTTATATTTTCAAACGCAACACTCATAAAAAACAAGGATATTGATGGATACGCTTGTCACTTCTGTCCAAAGAGATTCCAAAAGCCAATATGCCTGAAAACGCATTATTTGGAAGTGCACGAGGATGTTAAGAGTCAAAAATTGCCTAAACATTACGAATTGCTTATAAAATTAGACATCACTAACTTACAATGTAAACTGTGTGTTGAAACATTTGAAAAATTACAAGATTTCACTGTACATTTGAAGAAAAAACATAAAATTAATATATATACTGATATAGAAGATCAAATAATACCGTTTAATTTCAATTCTGAAGTTTTACGTTGCGCCGTCTGCGTCACTGAGTTCAGTAACTTTAAAATACTACAAGAACATATGCACCTACACTTTAGGAACTTCGTTTGTGATATTTGCGGCGCAGGTTTCATCACACGTCGAGTATATGTCCGACACAAGAGAACTCATGCAACAGGTGTCTTTAAATGCAGTCGCTGTGATAAAACATTTGATTGTGAGCAAAATAAGTACAGTCATATACAAAGAACACATTTAGGTTTAAAGAAACATAAATGCAAATATTGCGATCAAAGATTCACGGATTATTGGTCGAAAATGGACCATATGGTTAAGAAGCACGATATGCCACAGATTATGTATAAATGCCAAGCGTGTGTGCGGTCGTTCCGAGACAAAAGAGCTTTGACGCAGCATGTGAAGAAAGATCATTTGCTGGAGCGAAAACATCAGTGTAATATGTGTGAAAAGACATTCTTCTCGAAGGGACGTTTGAATAATCATTTGATTGTGCATACTGGTGTGAAGAGGTTCCAGTGCCATGTGTGTAGTGGATGGTACTCGACCAAGAACTCTTTGAAGCAACATTTGCGATCTCATGCGGACGATAGGAGATTTGCGTGTACGGTCTGCGGTCAGGCATTCGTGCAACATTGTACACTAAAAAGTCATGTGAAATCAAAACATATGAATTAGTGAGTAATCCAAAAACAAGAAGTAATATAGATTTCTTATTAAAATAGTAACTAAAACGCACATTGGTTATATTCTCACTCATAGAGATGTAAATTTGTTGGAAGAAGTCATATATACAAATGCCAAAGAGAAATTTCGAAGATTTTCACTAGTTTTAAGCCTGCATTGGGTTGTAGGCTCAGAATGTTAGATACAGTTCCGACGACATTCGATTGGCGTTTCCAAAGAGTTTACAGTGCAGCAACCAATGCGGCAATCGAACGGCATTGTCGGCACGGTTCGTCCGATTCTTACCAGGAAAGAGTGGCCAGACTTAATTCCTATTTTTTTACTTGAGCTTCGTTTGTGTAGCAGTTATGCACTGCTTTATTTTATTTTAGTTGTAGGTTCCATTCCCGTAAAATGTTTATGTAAAAATCGTCTACTTTGGTATTCCAGTCCTACCTATTTTACCCGCCAAGCAGCTTGATTTGTAAGCTATTGACGTGGGAGATAATAATAATAAAAACACTTTACATCACCCTTCAAAAGGCTGCCATCTTAAATACCTGTCGTACAGTCCGAAAATTTCTCGAAATCGATGAAAATGATATAACACCAGTCACACCAGGCACACAATAAGTACACACACACTCACGCGCACACACACATACACACACTCTGCACTTACTTGGTTTCGGCCCGTAAGTGTGGAGAAAACCAGCAAAAGCTGAGAAAAAATAAAGAATAATAATAATAATAAATTTTATTGCCCAATAAAACACTTTTACATTCAATACACATTACGGCGAACCACACACTAGACATGCAAGTCTGTATCGTGTGGTTCAGAGGAATATGGTAGTGAAATTACAGGATAAAAGGCGTGACGTCTTATTCCTTCGGAATGACAACTCATGAATGGTAACCTCTTACCATTGGGTGGGCCCTTAGCTTGTTTGTCATTCTAATGATATACACATCTGAATACGTGATTACTTCTATTTGTTTGTATTGGTCTGGATGTTTTTCTGTATGTTTGTAACATGTTTGTAATCCTGAGTGTAATTGTTTCTTTTCCTGTAGCTCTTTTCTATGTATGATATATATTTATAAAAACAAATTTACATAAATATATCTGTCAGTTCTGTAGTACCCATAACACAAGCTCTGCTTAGTTTGGGACTGGACGGCTCTGTATGAATTGTTCAGGGTTATTAATAAAAAGGAAAAGAAAATCGTGTTTATTTCTATCAAATGTACTCATAGTACAAGCTATACATATTTTAGACTATTTTCGGCTACCTGTACCCTCTACTACCTACCCTGCCCTGTCTGTACCCTCATAACTTTGTTTTATATTCATATATTACATACATGTATATAAAACAAAGACTGTATACATAGTCTATATCACTGTAGAACTTACTAAAGAGTGAAAGAATTTCTCAAATAGGTAGACTGGTTCCGAAGTTCACTTTTTAAAATACGGTCTTGAAACTTACATACCATTACCTCTCTATTTCCTATAGGGTAGTCAAAGACATTGTGAGTTATCGACATCATGGTAGTCAGAAATAAATATAAGATGTCAGTTCGACCACCATGCCGTCCCCATTAGAAAGCATCGAGGTTACTTCCTGTTTAATTCAATCACAATGAGCTAACTGATCCGACTATATGCGCCCTCCACTTGTACAACGGCAGGGAGATTCACTAAAAAAAATTGTCATTCATAAAAAAACATCAAATAAAGAAAATCATCAACTTTTCATTGTATCCAGTAAATACAGTTACTTAAACTTAAAAGACTTTCATATTTCTTTAATTTTCTTTTCAGATCAAACGTCAAAGAAAAAGGCGCAGTCAACCATAGACAACACGAGATTGACTCTAGACAAACGCGTTAATTTCTCCACATTTATTGCCATCAAGCCCTCAGTACATGCTTCCAAACGTGCACTCACCATGGGTCGACTTACAGAACTAGATTTACATTTTGACAACATCAAAACAATCTTGCGATGTTCAAATGCAACTCCCATAAGATGTCAAGTCGACAGTCGATATGCATGCGGTTATTGTTTAGCACAATTCGATAATCCGTCCGAATTAAAAAGTCACACATTGCTAAGACACAAGGAGGAGCAACCGGAGATTTTAAAAAACCGCTCGCTATGGAAGTTTATTGTTTACTTGGATATAACCTCACTTTTTTGTAACACTTGCGACGATGGCATAGACAATTTAAGAGAGTTAATGGAACATTTAAAGAATAAACACGAGGAAGTGATTCATTTGCATATAAAAAATCAATTGGTGCCGTGTAAATTTGATGAGAATGGTTTAAAATGTGGAAACTGTTTAATGGAGTTTGTCAATTTTGACGCTCTCGAAAATCATATGGACGATGAACATTACAGAAATTACATATGCGATTTCTGTGATAAAGGCTACACTATACGAAATAAATTATTGATACATAAAAGAAGCGCTCATCGCGTTTAAACGCTTTAAGCTAACAAGCACTAATCTTAGCAGACAGACAGATCTGTGGCGAATTAATTATAATCGCGCGGCAACACCGTTGCCTAGTTACGACAGAAGAATAAAATAACAGGCCTGTCATTCGAGACCGAATCACTTTCTTGTACATACCTATATATTCATCGTAATTATAAATATGTACATAACAACAATCTGGACTCGTTATTTAATCTTCCTCCTCCTGTCGCTGCCAGTACCAGCTGAACATAACATAAATAATAGCGGTAACAATACAGACGCTAAAGATCGTTTTAAAATATCAGTAAAATTGCGTTTTATATTTTAAGATTTTATGAGAGAGGAATCTTTCAACATGTAAATAATGAAAAAAAAAATGAGTTTATAGTCAAATACAAAAAGTAGTTTGTTCCAAGTCCGGTAAGACGATGTAATATAAAATGTTTTTTTGTTAAAAACCATATTGTTCTAGTTATTCGCTTTTATTTCTTTTTTTTCAAATAGAAATATATCAGCGCCATTATTTCGTGCTTAATAAATAAATGTGTAATGTTATTAATGTTTTTTATTACGTAGACTCTAAGCATAATAAAAATAATGTCATAAAAAAGTTCTTTTTTTAACGAAATGGTGAATCACCTAACCTACACATATCTATAGCGACCGATATAAGGTGGGGTACCAGTGGAGGATGATAGGACGAGAATGAAGACAGATTAGTTAGCCCTTTGTGATGAATTCGCCAAGAGGTAACCACAACATTTCCCAGGGGAGACCGCGTGGAGTATAACTTAACATAGTGACGTAAATTACCTAATAGCTTAGATAAACTACGTCACTACAACATAAACAAAAAAAAAAAATTTTTTACACAATCAGAATGTAGATTTTAAGCGAACAAAAAGCCCATCTACCTAACCTAAAAAACTTTTTAAAAATGCAGATATTTTGACGTGAGAACTTTCGATTGAAAATTAGGGTGCTTTTTCGATATTACATATATACATCCGATGTTTCAGACATAAAAAGGTAAGCTTTCAAGTAACAAGGAGAAGTAATACAAAAATTGAATTGTCTCTAATATGACACAATAATTATGTATTTGTAGATTTTGTCTTTTCTTTTTTAAATGTACTAGTTACTTTCCAGACATTGTAATGTAGGTACTTGGGTATTTTTTGTTTACTTAATAATTAATAATTATGTTTTCTTCACTGTCTATGTTATAATTGTTTTGTTATATTTCATGTTACTGTATCGTCTGTTTATAGTAAAATATAAAATGTAAAAAAAATCTAACCTTAATATCTAGGCTCATTATGTCAACACTACTTATTAATGTAATACTAAAAAAAAATACTTTTCGGTACTCGTTGTCTATTAACTATCTATATATATATATATTTGTAATTATAATTGTAATGACTGTTTGTACCAAAATAAATAAAAAAAAAAAAAAACTTTGTAATTTATTTTTTATAAAAGAATAATGAATTCAAAAACTTGGTTATTTAGATTTTTCACCTCAAGGTTTGAGTTTATATCAAAATAAATGTACTTACATACATCTTTTTATTATCTACAAGTTTGTCAATTAACTTTTTTCCATATACCATTACTTATGCTGGCAATTGAGATAACAAAAAAATTTTAAAACGCACCCTCATCCATTTTCCGACCTCAGAAATTATTTTTCTATTCATTTTATTATAAAATGTTCATGTTCAAATGAGTTTCAAAGATGAGTTTGGAACTAAAAAAAATTTTAGTAGGACCTAATATTTTTTTTGTATCTACACTGGTCTAGATGGCTCATTGGGTTGAGACGGTCGCTCTCGTCTTGAGATTTGTCATTATCAAAGAGGACAAAGACCAACAATACTGTCTGTACTGCTCAATGGAGACGGCGTCGGCACGGGTTTGAATGTGACAATGAGAGCTATGAAAGAAAGAAAGTCTAAAAGACAGACGTGTTAAACCTACTTTGATTTGTAATATATGCTTAACCAGGAAGGTCATTATTTAAAATGATAATATAATGGTGCTCTTACAGTCTACGCTGGCTGGGCACCAGTGGAAGCTGATAGATTAGGAGGTCAGTCGTTACGTAGCTTATCATGACCATTTACCTAATTAATCACTTTGGTTTCTAGTTGCACTGTGTGATAATTGTACAGACATAGTATGTACTAACCACTAATATCATTGCTAACAGTCCAATACGTTTCTTTCTAGGATAGATGGGTAATGCATGAAAAAATGTACTTGCCTCTTGCTAATAAATTTCCTAATCATCTTTTCTGTTACAGGTAAATCAGAGAAAACAATCTATACATTCGACAAGAAGTCTTCGAAGTTAGTGAAAAAGAAAATCATCGAAATAACCCCCCCGCCCAAAATGAAAATAGTTCTAAAGAAATTGAACGAAGCGCATTCACACCAAGAGAACATTAAAGAGCTACTTCTATATTCAAACGCGACGCCTATAAGGTGCCGGGGCGGAATCGGGTATATGTGCTGTTTTTGCACCGACCAGTATCCAGAGCCGTCAGATTTAAAACAACACACCAAAGAGAAACACAGCAACGGAATCATTTCGCACTTCATGAAAAAATATTCCATGAAAGATTACACAGTTAAATTAGACACCACATATTTATGTTGCAACATTTGTAATACTTCAATTGATGATTTAGGATTATTAATTGAGCATTTAATCACGCTACACGATATACCTTTACATAAGAAGTTAAAGAATCACATAGTACCGTTCAAATTTGAAGGTGATAGTTTGCGATGCGCGGTTTGCAGCCACGAATTTCATAGTTTCAAAGTGTTGTTAGAACATATGAATGTTCATTACAGGAATTATGTTTGTGAGATCTGTGGCGCGGGATTTATAAATAGAAGGATGCTGCAAACGCATGGCTATAGACATAGGACTGGGGTCTTCGTTTGTACGTACTGTTCTAAAGTTTTCAATGCTAAGGTCAAGCAGAAAGACCACGAGAGGGCAGTCCACATACATTTGAATAAAAGAAATAAATGTGGCTACTGTGGGGAGAAATTTGGAGATTACACGATAAAGAACGAGCACGAGGTGAAGGTGCATGGAGCGAGGCCAGTAGTACTAAAATGTCAAGCGTGCACCAAGACGTTTGATAACCAGAGATCACTAACAGTCCATACAAAGGCGTTCCACTTAATGGAACGGAAACTGATGAAGTGAATCATTGCAATCAGATAGATTTTTTAATTCATCTAGATTACTCCGTGCCTGCATCTTAGATGCTAGATCTCACAATGACAATTATGTAGGTAATGTTTGCTAAAAATCATAAAACAAATACAAAAATAATTAGTTGTACTATATAGGTTATTATGAGAAAAAAAATGTAGAATTATTAAATGTATAAATATTTATTTATTTGTAACTCAACACGCATATAACCAAAGAATACAATATAAACATAAAATCAAAATACATCTTTATCTTTGCGTATTTTTAATTAAAAATGTCTTTGAAGAAAATCGTTTTATTTTAAAGAACATTACAAACATATATAGAACGTTTAAACTCAACAAAGGTACTAGAGACGGCATATAAAAACATATCAGTGGTACAGTTCATGTATGAATTATATAGGCACTTCATGACTTAATCGGTCAACTTGTTTACTTGGCTAAAAAAAATATATGAAAACTCCTCGATAAATAGTTCTGACCCGACAAACGTTCCTTTGCCTAACATAGGCTCGGTAGAAGGGAACACATTTAGGAGTCTTTTTTTAATGCCTCATGATAAAATATATATATATCCCTGAAATAAAAAAAATTGAAATGGGCATAGTTATTTCAGTGGCATAAAAATTCATAACAACCTATTCTTAGACCTAGACTTCCTAGGTCTAAGAATAGGTTGTAGTAGTCTAGTAATACATATAAAATCAACATGTTTCAGGATGGTACATGATCATATGGCAGTTCAAACTAGCTTTCTGCACAAAGCGCTGTTCACAAATCGGACACACCTTCTTATCTCCCATATGGATCTTCAAATGTTGCACAAAAGTCGTCCGTCTCGGATATTTCTTTTGACAATGAGCGCATTCGAAAATCTTCACAGGATTATGTTTGACGAGATGTTTCTTCAGATCTCCATTTGCGAACAGTTCCATATTGCAAATGTGACATGTCAAATTCCTCTCGTTTAAATGCACTCGCCTTTGATGCCTTAATAATAAGGAGTTCTTGTATACCTGGTAACCACAAATCCCACAAGTCAATGACATATCGTTATGAACCTCTTTCAAATGTTGCGGGATTTCATCTCTGTCGAATTGCAAGAAGCATTTCCGACATTTTACAGGTCTGTGAACTGTAATATGTGAATTGTACTGGCTCCTTTTCTTGTACTTTTTCCAGCAAACAGTGCACGTGTGTGTTTGCACCACGTTGCCGTCTTCATCGACAATCTCTTCAACGCTATGTTCCTTGAGGAGATGGTCAGCTTTGTTCTTATTTTCACCATATTTCTCATCACAGAGCGGGCATTTATTAATTTTATGTACTTTTACATGGTTTTGCATATCTTTAGCGAAGGAGCATTGTTCTGCGCAATAGTTACAAGAATAAGCTTTTTTCCCTTGGAAGTACCGTGCCTTGTTTGTGGTCTCACACATGCTAATTGTAGCTGAATTAAACATAATAATTCAAATCCATTAGTAATTAATGTGCGTCAGTTTGGTAATGTAGTTATATACAATTTCGATTCTGTCTGCATTTAAGATTTAGGTGTGAAGGTTGTTAGAAAGAAAACACATATGTAGACTGTTTAAAAAATATTATAATTTTTAAAGGAATATATAGACCAGGAAGAATGTCTCTTTAGCGGAAGACTTGTTTTATCGTTCAGAGAAGACACAATATATATATTTTTAATAGAATTGTCCGTTTGTTTGTGCGCTTGTGAGTATTAATCTCATAAACGGCACATTCGATTCAGTTACGGTCTTAGTTTCGTACTAGATGGCGTTGTGTGAATTGTCCAGAGTTGTCGAGTACTAATCAACTTATAGAGATACTTCACAATTTTTTTGTAAATACATATTTACATAATATACAAAGAAAACACCCAGACCAATCATGCATACAAATATTTATACCGTGCGAGGAATCGAACCCGCAACCATTGAAAGTAAGGCGGTGTGCTAAACCACTAAACGACACATGATGCTATATCATGCAATTGAAGGCATTTATTTATATTATAAATACTAATATGTACTACGAAACTAAATTACAGTAGCCTTTCTTATTGCCTTTAGCATGCTTCAGGATGATGTTTCGTCATGTGATAATTCAAACTCGCTTTCTGCACAAATCTTTCATTACATATATTACACACTTTCCTCTTGTCTCCAGTGTGTATCTTTTCATGTTGCCTTAAAGTGTTCAACCTCGGAAATTTCTTCCTACAGAATGAACACTCGAAAATCCTTAAAGGATTATGCCTTACGAGATGTTTCTTCAGCTGGTGTACATCAAAAAACGTCGCTTCACAGTGCGGACACGACAAATTTTTCTCTTTCAAATGGACTTTCCTTTGATGGGTGATCACTCTCCATTCTTTGCTGTTCTTGTAACCGCAAACTCCGCATGTTGGAATATTAATTCCATGCACTTCTGATCTATGTATTGCTATCTCATCTTTAGTGGAGACAACAGAACAGTCCGGGCAATTGAAGAGTTTATGAGTGGGTATATGCCTGGTGAGACAGCTTCTACTGGGAAATTCTTTCTTACATATCTCGCAGGTACACTTTTGCGCTTCTCGGATAATTTTAGACCCGGCTACTGTAATTTCTTCCATACCATGTTTCTTTGCAAGATGCTGTGTTTTAGTGCCTTTATGCTTGAACCTCGCGTCGCAGAGGGGGCATTTAAAGGTCATAATGTTGAAATGTCCGGCCACTATGTGCATCCTCATACTGTCTAGAGTACTGAGTAAGGTACCGCATTTGTTGCAGCTGTACTTTCGCCTGCTACCCTCCTCGACGATGGTGTAGTCCGTCATATCTTCGGGTGGAACGAATGAATCTGTAATACAAATGAGAAATTCAAACTGCATACTCTTAGTCTGGAAATATGAAAGGTGATAAAGGCCTATAAATTACGTCACACGAATTTAATGATTTTTTTACCCTTCTCACGGGGGTCTCACAAATGGTCCTTCAACATTTGTAAGATTCTCATCTCCCTATAACGTCAAATATTTATTAAATACACTCGTGAACTAGGATTTTTTTGGATTACCATAAGGATTTCCTCCGGAGGAAATTTATAAGGTTCCAAACTAATAGGTAAATGAAATTATAAGTATTTTTAAGTTTATCGACAATAATTAAAAAATTTCATGTTTATTTGAAGTATATATATTTAAACATTTATTCGAAGTCATGAAATTTAAGAACCTTCCCAGTCTTGTCCCAAATTTTCATATTTGTCTTTATAATCTCGCGGACTTAAACATTTTTTTTTTAGTTTGAGCTATCAGTAAGACCTGTAACACAGCGACCTGTATAGATCTATTGTACTCGCCCTTATTCAAAGTTCGCTACCTAGATCCGTGAGGGACAAGAATTGCAGGATATTCTTAGAAGCGATGGGTTTTATCTCCTCAGGATAAAGTGTATACTTTCCAAAGGAGATATTTCGTTTATGCATGAGTGAGCTACAACTACATAGGATGTGTCACTACCTATGAAACGCCACTGAGTTTCCTCTTCTTGGCAAAATATGCATTGATGTTAAGCTAAGGCCTAATTTCGCCATGTGCTTATTCAGCTTGCAATGTCCAGTGAGGGCCCGTCATTATGCATATATTGTTTTTACTCGCTCACATTAAGAAATGGGTATATATACTTTAGGTAATTGCTTAAGCAAAGTATCTGAAAACTCTAAATTTAAGCTGAAAATTGTTAATGCATCCAGGTTACGCACTACATAGAGAAATTTTAAACCAAAGCAACTTGCTTTGTAAACTAAGGTGGTGGCAATCAAGCATACGGCTTAACTGATGGTAATAAGAACAATGAAAAGACTCAATATCAGGTAATAAAAAAGCGTTTTAATTAATTTATTAAATCACAAAATAACATAAATAATCTTTATATACTATGGTATACAAAATAAAAACTCCCGCTGCCTTCGCATAGATGTTTTAAACAATGTAAAGCATTTTAACGTTGTTTTCAGCAATAGATAGAGCAATTGAAGAGGAAGGTTTATATATATAGTGTCTCCATTGCATCCACGCGAAGTCGGGTACAGGTCGCTAGTTAATTAATAATAATAGCCTTGGTCAACTTACACAGCGCCATCTAGTCTCAAGTTAAGTAGAGCTTGTGTTATGGGTACTGGCCTATATATAAACACAAAGAAGGTTATTTTTGTAAATCCGTACATAAAATACATAGAAAATACTCAGACTGTTACAAACAATCATACTCATGAATAAAAATGTTTGTACCGTACGAGGATTGAACCCGCGACCATCGAAATTAAAGCGGTGTTCTAAACCACTAGAGCACTGAGGCTAATGTATATTATGTATCTATAAAAGAAATGTATTTCAGTATTCTATCAATTGTTTAGAACTAGAACAAACTTTGCTTAGCTTTGGACTGTGTGATAACGCTATATATAACCCAGGGTTATTATTATAAAGACGAAAAGAGCGACTTTCCTGCATACTATGAAAGAAGAGAAGAGAAGAATGTGTGGTGTACACATTCTTCTCTTCACATCTTTCTCTACACTCTCTATTCTTGAACCTACTTGTAACTTGAAGCTAATTACAAGACAGTTCTTTAGCATGCTTCTGGGTGATGTTTTACCATATGATAATTCAAACTCGCCTTCTGCACAAATCGTTCATCACATATAGTGCACACTTTCCTCTTATCCCCCGTGTGTATCTTCTCATGCTGCTTCAAAGTGTTCATTCTAGCAAACTTCTTCGTACAATGCGAACACTCGAACCTCTTCACCGGATTATGCCTTACCATGTGCCTTTTTAACGCTATATTATCAAAAAACATAGCGTCACAATAATTGCACGCTAAATTCTTCTCTTTCATGTGTACCTTTCTCTGGTGAACGAGAAGCAACCGTTTCCTCTTATTCTTATAACCACAGACGCCGCATGTATGCAAAGGAACTCCATGAACTGTTGATTTGTGCGCTAACATTTTATGTTTCGTAACTGCAACATGGCACAATTTGCATTTAATAGGTCTGTGGTAATACATGTGTCTGGTCAAACTTCCTTTGCCAGGAAACTCCTTTTTGCAGACTTCGCAAATGCACGTTTCGACTTCCTTGATTACTTTAGACGTTCCCACTTTTACTTCTTCCATGCCGTGCTTCATTGCGAGATGCTGAGTCTTTGTATCGTGATGCTTAAACTTCGCGTCGCATAGTGGACATTTGTACTTCATGATATTCAAGTGCCTGATCCATATGTGTTTCTTTATGTTGTACGCCGAGGTTAGGATGCTACAGCACTCATTGCAGCTGTACTTCCGTTTGTCGCCTTCGTTGATGACTGTGTAATCTGTCACATCTTCGAGCGAGATGTTCGGCACTGCGAACAAATGATAATTTCAAATACCCTCGAGTTTGATATGATGGAATATGATGACTGACCGATATTATACTATATGCGTTATCAGTAATATAATTAATAATAATGTGCTAATAATATTAATAACATTACTTATTGCCATCTTTATGTTGTATTTAGTCACATTCATTAGTCATACAACATATTGGGTGGAAATTTTAATGCTATTACTTTTAGGCTTTTTTACGTGAAACGTAACACCAAAACAGTTTTTCCTCATCACAATGAACCATATATAAACATATTATTTATTATCTAATAAATTTAATGAAATATTAGTTTTAAACTGTTTAAATAATTGTTTTAATGTTAGATAGTATTGTTACAATGCACTTATTAATTTTATTTTGTTTAAAGTGGACATTTATTTATTAGTTTATTAATAAATTATAGAATTTGATATATATACATACTTATAAATTATATCAATACACTACAAAACATCCCAAATATTTTGTACTGCATTGAGGATAATTAAAGATTATATCGATCATAATACAGCTTCATTCTTAGCGATTTGTGTTTACATACAAAACATCCCAACGCCGATCCGCAATTTTGGTGAGCGCCTGTTGGCTGCGGATCGGCGTGGTGGCTTCGGTTTGCAGGATAATACATGTAATATAAAAAGTAATATAAATAAATCATAATAATATATATTTATTTCAGATTGTATATTGTTTAACTGTTCTATTTTTTTATATTATATAACAATATTTATTAAAAAAAACAGTAAAGTTCCCATATCGATCTTACTGTGATTAGTATTCGTTTTTAAAAGTGCTTAAAAACAATTTTATTCAATTTAAATTTAATTATTTTCTATACCTATATGGAATTGTCGTGATATGCACTGAAGTTAAATAACTACCAAATTGAGAATTCTTTTGAAAAAAGAGAAAAAAAGGCGTGTTCTCTTTTTTTCAACGTCTTTTGTTATAATTAGTAAAAATATGTCATAGGAATTAGACGCACTGTGCTTAACTTTCTTATTTAAATAATTATTTATACCTATACGCGTTATATAACGGTTCTGGAAAATTACTACTAAACGAAGATACCGTCTTTGTGTAAACAAAGACTGTTGATACAAACTATTTCGCTAGCGATGTTCGTCATATTCCGCAAGAGACTCCGTTTTCCTGCCATCTGAACTTCTGTCTAAACCAAGTATGCGTATTGTTCTTTAACAGTGATCGGATTGCAGGTCATTTTTATGGATAACCTCAGCCTAGGTGTGACTGAGGTTATTTCAGCCCCCAAGCGACTTGCTTATCTCTGTTCCGATTACAGTATAAGAGACATAACATCTTAGTTCTCTGGAATGGTAACGCAGGAGTATGAAATGAAATGAAATGATTTTATTTTGCGAGAAATGTGGTGTGCACAGATGTTATAATGTACATATGGTTCCATACAATCCGTCTTATACGAAGATATGCAAAATTTTATATTAGTTATGCTTCTGTAAATAATTACACAATTCTGTCTTTCAGATAGCATATTACATTATTATATTATACAATTTTAAGAAATTATTATATCTATATTATTATTTAGTCATTATATGTCAATATTATTACTGTTATGTCATTACTATTATATTAATATAATCCTGTTCTTAACTCATTTTACCATCAAAATTTAAAAATTCTTTTACTGTATAAAATCTCTCAATTAACCAGTTGCGTAATCTATTTTGAAAAATTTCAAAAGACATTTCTCTAATAGTTTGAGGTATTTTGTTGTAAATTTTTATACACATTATTCTACAATTTTGATGAAATAGCGCACTATTTACTGCAGGCATTCTCAATTTTGTAGGATCTCTTTGAGTAATTTTATTACATTCTTCAATTTTTTTAAATAATTCAGGATGTTTCTTTACAAAAAGTCCGATTTCCAAAATATATAATGAAGAAACTGTTAAGATCTTCAATTTCTTAAAATACTGTCTACATGAGTCAATGGGACCCAGACCGCAAATTGCGCGAATGCATTTTTTTTAACGATTAGAGCTTTGTTGATGTAAGTTGAGTTACCCCATAGTAATATCGCATACCTTAAAACAGAACCAACACATTATCACGTAATCACGTAATGCCCGTGATAGCACGGGCACTACATGTTAGTAGTACTGTTTATGTACGGGGACTGTTAGTAAAGTACTGTCAGGTCGACCTTCACGTGGTAACCCTGGAAATCTTCATGAAAAATTGGAGAATTTACCATCATGGGCTAACTCACCTAACCTCATACTCATCTTATCACCCCTGGTGCCCCGCCAGCGTAGACCGTTAGCGCAGGCTGGTGCAAAATAAATATTTGCGTGAAAGAGTAACAAACATCTAACCATACTCACAAACTTTCGCGTTTATAATATTATTAAGATAAAATATATCATTGTAAATCATTATAAGCAACCGTGAAAAGATTAAAACAGTTTTCATTTATATGTACTTTATTAATATCTCATACATTAGTTAGAAGATGTCAAACCAAATACACCTTGAAGAGATCCTTGTGTGGACTTCATTCAAAATTTCTCTAACAGTATCAGATAAACTTCTATCTGAAGATATATTCCATGAGACTATATGAATATTTATTATAGTTTAATTTTATATTTTGTATGGATATATTAGTATGTTTATATTATTATTAGGGATGTTATGGATATGAAATTTCGGATACGGATATATTTTTTTAAGGAATTTCATAAGTAAAATACAAATAGCTAATAAAATAGTTACATAACGTGTCTCTATTAGGCTCCGCCCCTATCCGATATTATCCGAAACTTTTATTTCGGATTCGGTTACGGTTACGGAGCTCCCTGACATCCCTGATTATTATTATATTTATATTATTTTCTGTATTTTTTTATATTAATGACTAGCTGACCTGCGCAACTTCATCTGCGTCACACTTGACATTACCATTATATTTCGTCCAATATACATATCTGTTCAAAATCTACCCTGTACCATCGTAAGCACAGATTATTATATTAGAGTCCGTTAGTTTGTGTTCCCGCGGTTTCCCTTCCCCTCCCTTACCTAGTACTGAACCGACTGTACGGCGGCCATGACGCGCGCGCATTGTGTTGTGAATTAAAATAAATTAGAACTGTGAAACCTACTGTGAAACTGGAAAGCTAGCGAAGATATCTTCGAGACCCTGAAGCCCAAGAAATTCGCAGAACCCTACAGGTACGTGACTGACGCTTCCACTAATTTTTCACTATATATATACAGAGAGTAAATTCCCTAACATTTTGGTAGCAGAGTAGTTTCCCAAACAATATCTTATTGAATTATAACCTATATAGCTGTTTATACTATAATAGCTGTGCCCGCGGTTTCACTCGCGTGAAATTTACAGCCTATATGTTATTCTAATGTATAAGCTGTATTACTGTAAAGTTTCAACAAAATCCGTTCAATAGTTTTTCCGTGAAAGAGTAACAAACATCCATCCATACTCACATGTTTTACGTTTATAATATTAGTTTGATTAAAGTGCACGGCCTCATTATCTCTGACCAACGTGACTGTTGACTGGTAGAGAATGTCATCAGGCATTAAGTTCGCCATGTATTTGTGTGAAAAAGAATAAATAAATTAGTTATACACGAGTTTTTTTACAAACAACTTTATCTGGATGATGACTCTTCATATGAAACCTCAAACTCGTTCTTTGTACAAACGCTGCATTACACAAATTACATGCAAACGGTCTCTCTCCCGTGTGTATCCGATAATGAGCTCTATAGCACTCCTTCCTAGCGAATGTTTTAGCGCAAACACCACAATTAAAAACTCTATTCTGATCATGAGTGATCATGTGGTCTTGTAAATTGGATTGCGTGTAGAACGCCTTTTCACAAATAGAACATCTTTTGTCCTTTTCGTTTAAATGTACATTCCTCTGGTGACGAACGAGAGCGCTCTGTAGTAGGGTTCGCAACCCACAGATTCCGCACGTTGGTATTGGTGCGTCGTGAACTTCGTTCATATGAAAGAGGAGTTTCTTCCTCACGAACTTCAGATCGCAATTTGAGCATTTCTTCTCTATGTGCACATCCATCATATGCTCAGCTAATGTGTTTTTCCTCCGAAACTTACGGTTACACTCCCCGCATAAATATTCTGGTTTCTGATGCGTGTGGTACTTCCACATGTGGTCTTTTCTTTGACTGTGGTACATAAACGTATCAGGGCAGAGTTTGCATTTAATGAACTTTCTTTTGAGATGTGTTCGGATGACGTGGTACCTAAGGTCTGATATCCGTTTGTATGATATGTCGCAAGCCTTGCACATATACTGTTTGTGTTTGTCTGTCACTGTTATGTAGGCGTCAACGTCGGAACCTAAAAAAGAAGAAGAGCCATTGTTCAGGTTGATTCTATATGCATACTGCTTGAATTAATAGTTTTTGCTAAGTGGTAAAAATTCATTGAAGGGGAGCATGTTCAGGCAATAAAATTACAATATAGGTATTCTTCAATATTCGTTCTATCTCTATTCAGAGACCTTGTGTTTCCCCTCACCCAAGAGCGATAGCAATACTTAATCGAAATTTTGCCATAAATATTTACGGTACGCTCTACTCGGCTCACTCTATTATGACAGTAATAGTATTTCTCGTGATTCTGGAAATTCATTATAAGTCTCATGTCATCCAATATCAGGTTTCAAGCTAAAGATAGGTTCTTGTTTTAAAATCTAGTGAAAAACTGAAGTTTCATTGAAAATCCAAAACTTGTTTAAAGAAAATCTACGAAACCTTTTTTAGTTAATGTAGAATATGTTCATAGTAGCAGGTTTTGTATGGAGAGGGGTCGAAGACATACATACTTACTTTTTTTGTTTTAATGTTATTATTGATTTTATTGAAAAGACAAAATGTACATATTGTTACGCATGATGTATATAGTGTGCAATATATTTTTTTTTCAGCATTATATTAAAAAAAGATTACAAACCGTGGTGAATTCACCAGGAAGAGACCACAATGGTTTCTAGAAGAGGTCGACTTGTTATGGTACACAGTTTTTTTATGGATGATAATGGAATGATGGGGCACCAGTGGAGGATGATAAGATGAGCATGAGGTCAGGTCAGTTAGCCCGTCGTGACATATTCACCAAGAATCCTATCACGATGGTTTCCAAGGGGAACCGCGGTATATAATAGCAATGTGATCATCAGTTCACATTACATTACTAACAGTCCCCTTTCCCCCCCATGGTACATTGTTAGCAAAGGGGTCACTAGTCCCCATTACTCACAATCCCCTTTTCCTGCATAATACCATCGTTTTCGAACTATTCTAATACAGCCAACATTAGAACTGGTATTTACAACTTCATCGGATCAAAAAAGGCCAGTGCAGATGGCATTTCAAACCCGCGAAAAGCTGGAGCGTCTGAAGACAACTCGGTCGACTTCGGTTCCAACCTTGCCTTGGAATATCGGTTTGAAAAATACAAGGATCCAGATAAAGAACAGGCATTTTTAAAAAAAGGAATTGTATTGAGTTTCTTGCCAGTTCTCAATTGAATCTGTATACTAAACTACCAAGCGAAATGTGGACAACAGTGATAGTTGATAATGACTCCGACTATCAATGTGTTTTATTAGATACTAGATTTGCCTGCGGTTTCACCTGCGTGAAATTTATAGCCTATGTATTATTCTGATGTCTAAGCTACATTACTGTAAAGTTTCATCAAAATCCATTCAGTAGTTTTTGCGTGAAAGAGTAAGAAACATCTGTCCATACTCACAAACTTTCGCGTTTATAATATTATTGAGATATAATAAAAATACTGTTTAATAGATACATAACACTTTATTATTTATAAACTTTTAATAATTATTAATTCTTAACGTAAATATATTTGTATTTTCTTTTATGTAACTTGAAAGAAACAAATATGATTCTACTCATGCCTTGTTGTTCTAGAGGACTAAAATATCATGCCTCTTATCTTGTAATTTCAACTTCAACCAACCGAAACACAACTTTATAGCAAGTTGATTGGCGTCTATATGTTTTTATCATCATCTGCTTCTTCCTTACCCCATTAGTTTAGGATATTTTCTCTTCCATTCATCCCTGTTCGCAGTCATCTCGTTATTCATTCCCTTTCTTGCTGTATCATCTTTCATGTCCTTCCATCGCTTTTTCGGCCTTCCTCTGCCCTTAAAACCATCCACATTCTTAAATTTCTCATTTGGGATAAGGTCGTCATTGTACAACTAATTTCTTACTTGCGACCCGTCCGGCTTCACACGGTTGCATTAGAAATCTTCTAACTTCTTCGCTTGTTCTATACTATAACACGCGTCTATTATAGATATACATATTCCTTTTGAATCACTCTATCTATTTCTGAAAACTGCATTAAAATCCGTTGCGTGATTTAAAAGATAAGCGTAGACAGCGGCGTCTTTTTTATACTATATAAAGATTCTCGTTGTACCTGTACTAAAGAAACATTCTTTTTAATGAAGTGAAGGTGTCACACAAATTCTGGATGTCGTCGCGTTACATGGTACTTCAAGCTGGTCTGCTGCACAAACGCCTCCCCGCAAACTTTACAGATATGCCTCCTGTCGTCCAAGTGCATCATTATGTGCGTATTCAGATTCTTTTTCCATCTAAATGCTTTACCGCAGTAATCGCATTTGAACGCCCTCACCGAGGTATGTTTTATTTGATGGCGATTCAGTCGCGAACGTTGGGCAAACGTCATTGGACATTTGGGACATTGGTATAACCTTTCCCCCATATGGTTCTCTTTTTGATGTTGTATCACCTGTTGAATTTAATGATTGACATAATACTCGTTTAAGAATTACTTGATTATTTAGGAGGGAATGAGATAGCTATAATAATCGTAATGTGGACCCCCCTTTGCTAGCAATGTCAGCTTGAAATCCATGCGGTTTCCACATTTTAAATACTACGATAGTAATAAAATAGCATACGACCAGTAACTAACAACTGGTGAGTTTGTCACGATGACTGATCTCACTAACTGATCTGACTTCGTGCTCATCTTATCATCATCCACTGGTGTCCCGCCAGCGAAATCTTATCATTCTCCACTGATCAGCGTATACTACCGTTAGCACAGGCGAGTGCACCATTCCATTAACATGTGTGTAAGCTGGACAGACATTCAGACTGAGCTACTTTCGCATTTATTTGTAAGGATTAGTATGAGCTAGTGCTCAAATCTAATTTCGCCCGAGTGCTTATACTTTTTACTATTAGATAACAATGAATTTCTTTTCTTTTTTCTTTCTTTTCACTTAGGGGTATAAAAAATAAATAGTAGCTGACTCTCAGACCTATGGAATATACTTTTATATGAACATATTTTTATATGTATAAAAATCGGTCATGCCGTTTCGGAGGAGTATGGTAACTAACAGTGACGCTAAAATTTTATATATAAGATATAGATTCTGACCTGATTGGGAAACGCGAATTTTTTCCCGCACGCATTACAAGTTGGCGCCGGTACACCATGAGCCTGTTCCATATGGAACGCCCGGATATGACCAGGGACCTTCATGCCGCATAGATAACAAGAATGCACTTTTGGTCTAAGTTTTAAATGCACATGCCGATAGTGCTGTTGGAATAGACTTCGTTTCTTGTAAACGCGACTGCACGTGTTGCATAGGTAGTGTTTCGTCCCGTCACCGCCGTCTGTGAGTGTGTATTGGTTGGCGAGGGTCGTTTCGTCCCCTAGAAAAGAAACAGACGGGTGAGTGGGACGGGTCGAAACGCTTTTATACAGAACCCCATGCTTAGTACACGAAATATCACTACCGCAAAAGTTATATTGTTTAACGTGATGCTAATATCGTTTGTATCGTTTGTATCGTGATGTAAAACATTATCGTTTTATGGCAATGATGGCTGGCTCATCCGTCATACTCGTGAACGGGTGCTGCTTGTGAGGACTGATCTGTTCGGGTTACGAACACTGCTTAGACTATTTGCTTTAGTAATAGCATATGCTAGTGGTCACTTTATTCTTCCAATTTTAAAAATGGATCTGTATTATTGTAAAAATGTACAATATTTATTTGAAAAGAATACGAGCTGAGTTTCTTGTCAGTTCTATCATCTCGAACTCATTCAGAACTGATGGTAGATTTGACATATCATAAGAGTCTGTAATAGACCTACATGAATAAAGATATTTTGAATTTGAATTGTTGTATAACGTGATACAAAAACCTCTTTTGATACTGGAACATAATCCTTACTAATATTACAAATGTGAAAGTAGGGATGTTTGTTACGCAAAAACTACTGAACCGATCATCACGAAATTTTGTACACATGTTCTTAGAGGTATTAGAATGAACATAGGATAACTTTTATTTTAAAAAAAAAATTTTTATATAGAACAAAAAATACAATATCAACATTTTGCTAATTCAGCGCCGTCTAGTAGCCAGTAATGAAGTTGAAGTTATAAATCAGCGCCGTCTAGCAGCCAGTAATGAATAATATATAATGGATTCAATGCGAGCAAAGCCGCGGGTAAAAGCTAGTAAGTTTATAGTTTTTCATGAGTCGTCTCTTATTTTTTTAAGTGGTTTAAAATTTTGTTATTGGTATATATTACGATATAAGTGCGTTATGATGGTTATAACACACGAGATAGAATTACAACACGAGCCCAAGGCGAGGGCGTAATAGAGCCGAGTGTGTTAAACACGCACGTATATCGTACGTTTTTCAACACACTAGATTTTAAATAAACTCAATCATAAACCTGTGATGTGTACTGGTTCTGTGTTTTCTTTCTACTTTCCCATCGTTTCACTGTTTTAAATCAGCGCGCTGCCTACTGGTTGGTGCCTAACGGTTACTTCGAAAATTGATAAAGAAATAACAAATAGGATTATGGAATACAACTTCACTGTTTACATTTATAACACACGCGTAATCATTGTTAATTATACAGAAAAAAAAGTTTATATCTAAGAGGACGATCGCAAGTAACAACTAGTCATTTTTTATTTACGAGTTTATAATAAACTCGAAAGTTTGAGAGTACGAGTATAGATGGATGGATGTTTTTATTCTTTCACGCAAAAACTAGTGAACGGATTTTGATGAAACTTTACAGTAATATAGCTCATGCATCAGAATAACACATAGGCTATGATTATAATATTTATTAAGATATTATGTAAATTGCGGGATATATAATGATAAATGCTGCGTGGGTAAGCTAGTAAACTATATGTAAATGTTATGATAAGTAAAGCATGATTTTCTTGAAATGTACTTCAAATATATAAAATAAAAATTCTGTTAAATTTGAAATAATTGTTTATTGGTATATCCATTGAGACAAATACACGTTACTTACAATTTTTAAGGTAGACACAATTACTGTATTAACCCAAAACAAATCTGTAATCGACTTTAAAGATTTGTCATTAAAGTCCATTTTACTTCTTCATTTTTTTTAGATAAATACATTTAATATTGATTAAATATTGCACTATTTGAGGTGTTAAGTATGGATTTAAATAAATCTACAAATACATGAATTTATGTAACTTTTTATAATTTCAAAACAACAGGTATATTCACAAAATTCATATATAAGTCATTATTTAAGCGAAATCGCAGGTAACTATGGCCGATTAACTATATTAATATTAAGTAATATATATAAACATCGAGTGCCTTTTAAATATACCAAGGCTTCGACCTCTTTACTAGAAATCGGCTATTAGACGTGATAGTGATGTTCACGTCACGACAACACTATATCACGATAACACACCTGACCACTCATACGTTGGCATACAACAACGAAAATATGAGGGCGTACCGCAGATCAAAGATGTCACACTAGTCAGGCCATAAATACTGTTATATAAAAACTTTTTTTTTTTAAACTCTTTATTTCAAATTTGGAATATGCATATTATTTTAAAAACTTTCGTTTTTGCGCCATTTCGCATATTTTTTCGTGTATTGTATTCGACATTTTAAACTATAATATGGAATGGGGTGTTAAATAGGATTACAGTGATCGCCTTGCACAAATGGGTATGGAACTCTCGGTCATATTGCAGACACTTCAAGCTTGGTATCAGTCGTATGTTCGTATATCGTACTATCAACAGATACAACAACACTTCGTTTGTCGAAAACCAGAATATATCAGGGCGGCCGCTGTTAGATGAAACCGTGGAGATCGAGTCTTAAATAATCTTTGGAGCAAGCAGTAGCGAAATTTCTCTTGGAAACGATGCGTAAATCTATAGATTCGTGGACAAACAGATTAATGGCTTGTATAAAAGCCAAATGTGGCCATTTCGAATAGAATATTTTCAAACTTGATTCGATATGTAGGTATAAATATTAATAATATTACATTACTTCATTAAAAATAAATGTATTTTCATTTGTTACAGAAGTTATGGCTGGACTAGGTTTAATTTGAATGACTATTTTGTGGCATAAGAAAATATACCAATTTATTTTACTCTTTTTTCATAGATTTATTTTATATAGTTAGTGACTAGATGCAATAGCGTTCTGCACATAAAGAACCGACATATAAACATATATCCATACTAGTACATAATATTATCATAATGAAAATGCCCTCGTACCAAAGACCAAAAATCCCATATATATTTGAGGATCCACGCACGGTTGGCATCCCTGAAGAGTTTCTAAATGTTTTAAATGCCTTCACTTCGAACCGTCTCAGGATGCCGTCGGTTCATATGGTATTTTAAACTGGTGTCCTGTACAAACGCCTCTCCACAATGTTTACACACGTGTCTCCTTACATCCATATGTATCATTATATGTCTAGTCAGATTGTTCTTCCACCTGAATGTCTTCTCGCAATATTCGCACTTGTGTGGCCTCTCTGCCGTATGCTTTAGCTGATGTACTTTCAAATGCGAGGAGCTCGCAAACTTGAGTGGGCAAATGGAGCACTCATATTTCTTTTCACCCATATGGGTCTTTTTCTGATGCCATGTGACCTGTTGAATTTAGGGATTGACAGAATTTTTATACTGCAAACTAGCCTTTTTTTTCGGATTACTCTAAAGCTGTTGGCCGCAGCTGGCCTTTACAGCTTCACCGGACGATAGAGGGCCAGTGCAGATGGCATCCCAAACCAAAGGAAGGACCTATGGAGCGGCTGAAGGCCAACTCCCGCCTGTCGGATACGACTTTAGCCGGAGGGTTCGAAGGTGTTCGAACCTTGGCTTAGGCCGTCGTAATTTCGATCCCCGTTAGAATTGGACGGGGGATCAATCGGAGGGGGCAAACAAGTCGATGGGCTGACGGTATTTATATATAGGAGGAAAGGGATTGTCAGTAATGTAGACTGATAGCCCTATTGCTAGCAATGTACCATGTCCGATACTCCTCGCGGTTCCTCCTAAAAGCCATCATGGTCAATTTCTAGGGAATTTCGCCAATATGGGCCATCTGACCTGACCTCATGCTTTATCATCCTCTGCTGGTGCCCCGTCAGCGTAAACGTCACTATTACAAATGTATTTTTGGTAGCTCATAATCTAGTTTGGATTTGATAGGTATTGAGTATTATTATTGTCCCATACTGTTTATTACATTAAGCAATTAAGTTTAGTACATTAGGAAGGGGAAATAATTACTAATTCTTGGAATATATGGCCTCATAAAACATTTCTTCAGAAATTTTTTACCCGTTTATATTATAGAGTGAAAATATGGTGACACGTTTAATAGTCTATGGGGTACACCCAGACCGATACAAACAATCATACTCATTAATACAAATGTTTGTCCCGTGCGAAGAATCGAACCCGCGACTATCGGAAGTAAGGCCGGTGTGTTAAACCGCTACCCCACCGAAATGTTACAAGTGATACCGAATTCATTAATGACTCTAACCTGACTTTGAAACGCGAATTTTTTCCCGCACGCATTGCACGTTGGACGCGATATCCCATGCACCTCCTCCATATGCAACGCTCTCTTACTGGGCGCAACCTTTACCCCGCAGCGGTTACACGAATGCGCTGTCCGCCTCTCTTTTAAATGTACAAACAGATAGTGCTGTCTGAAAAGATCTCGTCTCTCGAATTCGCGAGAGCACGTGTTGCATACGTAGAGATTCAGCCCATCACCAGCGTCTTTGATCGTGTATTGATCAGCGACCTTCGATTTTTGGCCTAGAAAAGAAAGATAGACGTGAGTCGAACGGGTCGGAACGCAACGTATGTTTAAATTTAATGATTTTTTCACAGATGTTTACAATGTACACATCATTTAAAAAGAAATTAATAACCTCGGTGGTCTAATGATTGCTTCCGATGGTCGCGGATTCCTCGCACGGTACAAACATTTGTATTCATGAGTATGATTGTTTGTATCGGTCTGGGTGTAATATATTATATACTTGGCAGGCAGAATGAATTACCAGCGCCGCGACAGTTAGCTGTCACAACGGCAAATGCTGAGTGTCCGCCATGTTGCCAAGCATAAATCTTTATATATAAAAATTAC